TAGCTTCTTGTCTGTGCGTCATATGTATGTGCTGGACATTCTCCTTGTCGCTGCATTTAGGTCCAAGCCCCCATTTTCGGCAAGGTATGCAGCACTGTAATTTGTTAACCAGTCTTCTAAGTATGATATCTAATTGGTTTTAAATTTGTTTAATTTTATAATTTAAATAAGACACATGAATGGCATATACCTATATAAGAAATCCCTAGGTCAATGTCAGTTTGTAAGAGCAGCCTGCTCAGGCCACCTATCTGCGATGGGTAAGGAGTTGTATTTCTTTCTGCATGATAGGTATTTAGTTACCTTCCATCCAGGTGATTAATAATATTTCACCTTGGCTGAGCATTTTAACATTTTCTATAACTTCTGCATTCACTGATCAGTCAGTGTATGGATTGGTTTTGCAACCCTGATTGAGATGAGGTCCTGAGGCTTGGAATGGTTCTTACCTGTCTGTGGCTGGGCCGTGCCTGGGTCTCCCCATTCCTGGCCCAGTGTTAGTATCTTTGAAGGTCCTTGGAAGTTATGGGCCTGCTGGTAGGAAATATTCTTCTTGTCCAGTGGGAGGATTTGCTGTGTCTTTCTTCTTTTGTAATTCCAACTTGACCTTGAATCATGCGCTGCTTATGCAGGAAAGCTTCAAGTTCAGTAATTTTCTGGTATGCTTCCCACTGAGATATGATAATCGTATCTTCTGTTAATGCAGATAGACTTTTATTTGCAAAAAGACAACATGACATTTCCATGTCTCTTTGTGTAAATCATTAAAAAAATTATTTGGTAAAACCTAGTTTTATCAACTCCTTGAGACTGCTTCTTTCAGAATGTACCTGAAAGATCTTTATATATCAGAGCATGTGTTTTCCTGTCCTGAGATGACCAGACAAATCTACTCAAAGTATTCCTTTTCCTTACTGGCTATTCAGTGAAAAGAGGGAGTTGATGATTCATGCATACATCCATCTATCTGTTCATTCAATAAACAATAACTTAGTGCCTATTGTGAGCCAGGCAATGTTCTTAGCTAATTTTGAGAGGTGTGGACTCTAAAGTCTGGTGAAGGAGAAACCCCTAAAGTCCCAGAAAGCTGGGAAATCAAGATGGAAACCCAGAGAATGGAATCCTCGTGCTAACTCAGCAGAAAGCTACTTGCTTTTGAATAGGCAGAGATCAAAGACAAAGAGAGATGTTATATTATGGCACTTATTGCCCGACCCTACGTACCCTGGATTACCCAACTCTTTGTTCTGTGCGCAGCATTTGATAAAGAAGAGCCTTCCTTATAGGCTTTCTTCACATTAATAAATTTATCTTAATACCACAGACATTGGGTTTACTCTGTTGCGTATGGGTGTAAATGGGAAACATAAAAAGACAGAAAGAGTTAAGGAATAGGGGAAGAGAAGAAAAAAGGCGAAGAGAGAGTGAAGACATTTTAATCTGACATGAAGCAAATATGTTGTTAGAGTGAACTTAGTATCCTCTTTACATTTCCTAAAGTATTGTGATAATTATCATCATATGTAGGCAGCCCTATAATATATGATATTCCCAATGTTCTAGGGGTAAAATAAAATATTTTTATGATAGATTACATGTCTAATTAAAATTGGGACTTGTGAGTGATACATCAGCCATAGAAAGACCCATTGTGTCAGAACACACTGTATTATATGGATATTTAGAATTAATCATCTTTACTGTCATTATACAGAATGAATTATAGAACTGTAGAGTTCAAATAATTCATAATTCTTAACATCTTTCTCTAAGTTAGGCTTAGTTGACTACAGGGAAGTTAGAAGAATGTCCACAAGCACCTCTGTGCCAGGGTGCACGTTTTTGTGTCCAGCTGGCTCTTTGTATATAGCAAATGTTAATTTAGCACTTTTTGATAAAAATATATTATTTGAAAAATTGTTTTTAATATTCAGAACTGTGGAGCTTTGAATTAGAATTCTGATTCTAACAGTTATTATTGAGGAAAATCACTTAAATTTTCTAAGCCCCACTTTTTCATTGATGAAAGGCCTTTGGAAAATGAGCAGAAGAATGTTTATGGCACACAGATTTTGTTTCATTTTTATGTTTACATGTTCATGTATTAAAAGTTTGTGTTTCGTGTATGTAAGGGCTATATAACAGGTTTTTATAAGAGGGATAAATAAGATATAAAACTTTTTTTCCAAACTCTTCAGCACCAGAGAGTTTCCCAATATTACTGTTATTATGATTCTCATATTCGCTCTGTAACCATAAAGGACATTGTAGGATCCAGGATCGAGTAGATTTTTGTTCTGTTTGTTCAAATTGTGGTATGTGTGTAAGCTAAATTTTGAAAAGGAAGGAAAAAAAAGTTAAACAATCATTTGTTTAAAAAGCTTATATTTTTAAAGTTTCTTTTTTTCAGTGCCCACCTGTGCTAGGCAATATTCTTGGTGCTGGGAATACAGTTATCTTTCAGATGATGAGGATTTTTAGTGTCTTCTTTCTTTTCTCCTGCCCTCCTTATCCACTCCCAGCTAAGCTAATCAGCTGCCCTGTGCTAAGACACGTCATTCTTATCTCCAAAC